TAAAGAATACCTTTCTTAGGGCGGGGATGAGTGTCCATCCTCTTTTCACCTTAAAGAATACATTTATATTACCCTTTTTAGGGCGGGGATGAGTATCCATCCTCTTTTCGCCTTAAGAGAGTACCTTTAGATTACCTTTCTTAGGGCGGGGATGAGTATCCATCCTCTTTTCGCCTTAAAGAATACCTTTCTTAGGGCGGGGATGAGTGTCCATCCTCTTTTCGCCTTAAGAATACCATAAATTACCTTTCTTAGGGCGGGGATGTGTATCTATCCTCTTTCGCCTTAAGAATATCAGCTGCATGACAGAATTTAAAGTTAACTTCAAAAAAATCACCTAGAAAGATTCTGAAGGTATTAAACCTTGAATTTCGGATATGTTGTAGAACTTTGTGTATAGATTCTAAATAATCAAGCGGCTTGTGATTTCGTCGTTCCTACATCAAGACACAAGAGTTTTAGTAAAGCCACACAAGTCTGCAATTTTCAGCATGACAGAATTTAAAGCTAACTTCAAAAAATCATCTAGAAATATTCTGAAGGTGTTAAATTCCGAATTCTGGATATGTTAGAGATCGAGAAGTCTAGTTTCTGGAAAATCAAACCGTTCTTGATTTCGATTTCTCTACAATGAGATATGAATTTTCTACGACAAACATGTCAAGCTGTAAAAAAGGTGACGAAAATCAGAAAAAGGGAGGGAAACTACCTTGAATTATGCCTCTTTCGTCACAGGCTCGTAGCTCACAATCTGTAATTGAAGACAAAATTGTGGATATAATGTGTCTATTTATAGATGTCATGTGATGGGAATAAAATCCTTCTCCTAGTTCAATTACAATTCTTTTTGGCTAGGACAATAGAAAGGGAGATGAACTTGAAATTGAGTAGGATTACAATTCCTAGTTCAATTGCAATTCCTTGTGGGCTATGCTAAAGTAATTGACGGAAATACTCTCCTAGTTGAATTGGTTTACCTATTGCCTTGTAACAAGCGTTTATTTGTCTCCTATCCTGATTCTAATTGATTAGATATATGGTTAAAAGTGACAGGTAAGCCACATAAGATCAAATACTCACATTCCCACTCCAATTACATGTATTGGAGTCGGGCAATGCCTAAATTAAACATTACATGGGCTTGACAAATAAATTACCATTTAATTAATGCTTCAAGTCTAGTCTTTAAATGATAAAATATTTTGACAAGCCTTGAAGCAGGGGGCATTTGTAATCATTTAAAATTTATTTAAATATAAATTTATTAAATGATTCGGATTATATTAAATTCATGAATATATTAGTCCAAATAAATATTATGGATTAATATAATTGATTTAATTATTTAAATTCAATAAATATGAATTTAATTAAAGCCCGCTCCATAAAGCCCATATGCCATGTCACTTAAATCTGATTGGCCGGGGGGAGTCCTCTTCTAAACACAACTCCTCTATTTTAAAACTATAAATAGGGGTCCTCATAATTCATAATAGAGGACCCAGAATTTTAACAAGAAGCTAGAGAAAGCTCGTGGATCAAAAGCTGCAGATTTCTCTACAAGTTCAAGAGTTCAAGAGTTCAAGAATTCAAGCATTCAAGATTCAAGAACATTCAAGTCTCAAGAACGATCAAGATCAAGAACGATAAAGATCAAGAACGATCAAGATCAAGACCGCCGGATTCAAGATCAAGCTCGAAGCCCTTGGATTCAACTAGAAGTCAAGATCAAGATAAAGTTCAAGTCCAAGATCAAGATCAAGATAGAGATCAAGATCGAGATAAATCTCAAGTTCAAGATCAAGCTCAAGAGCCCTTGAATTATATTTGAAAAGGCGAATTCAGAGGAATAATAGAGATTGTAACACTCGCACCTAAATCAATAAAACGATTGTTGCATAATTTTCCGTTCTTGATTATTGTTTTCTCGACGCGAATTTTATTGTCTACAGAGTTCTCCAGCACTAACAGGTTCCTTTTTTCCATTTTTTAAATCATTTCAGGATTCGAAGATATTTCAGGATTAAGTTTGAGATTAGATTAGTTGAAGAGATAAGTCTATCCAGTATCCCATCATATCTGGTTATTTATCTGGGGACACGTTAATCTACTTTTTCTAAGTGGTGCAGTTTTTTGGGATTTATCTCTGATGAGTTTATATTTCTAAGGTTTTTTTTTTTTTTTTTTTTGCATGTGATATGCAAGGATGTCTTGTATAATATGATTGAGAATGAGGACATCCAAATAATTTGAAACTTAAAAATCAATTTTCAACACACACACTATTTTTTTCCAACTGTGGTGGTATTGAAATATTAATTTTAGGAAGATAGATAGAATGTTTGAAAAACAAGCAGTAATGATCGAATCAAATTAGAAATCCTAATCACTCCTAATATAATCAAACTCGAATTCAAGGCAATCAAAATCTCCGAATTCATAACAAGCAGTAATGATCGAATCAAATTAGAAATCCTAATCACTCCTAATATTATCTTTTGTGTCTAATTATCATCTAACACATTTTTCAAAGTATTAAATTTAATAAAGTCAAAGGATAATATAGTAATATTACCCTTATTATTTATTATTTCTTAAGGGGTGTATCAAGTCAATAGTGGACAACTATTTACAAAGTCAAAGGATAATATAGTACTTCCTCTGTCCAACAATATTTGTTCACTATTGACTTTGCACACTTCTTAAAAACTATAAATAAAAGGGTAATTTTACTATATCATCATTTAAATATAATAAATACAATGTCTTGAAAAATGTAATAAAGAAATAACTATAATTAATGATAAGGGTAAATTGGGAACTAAGTGTAAAATTAATTGTTGATTTCATAAAGTGGACAAATACTGTTGGACATCCCAAAATAATATAGTGGACAACTATTATTGGACGGAGGGAATAATATTATCCCTATTATTTATTGTTTCTTAATGGGTGTGTCAAGTCAATAGTGAACAAATATTATTGGACAGAAAGACTAATACTCAATTTCTTTTTATGTTTTGTTTTTTCTTTCTATGTTTTGTTTTTTTCTAGGAAATTTGCACTTTCAATCCTTTGAATATTGATAAAATAATTACGTATCTTACCATTAATTAAGAATTTTTTTACCATATATTGAAGAAAATACACCTAGATAATGTATTCTTGCTACTAGATACACTAAAATAGGAAGAGAGATGAGGAAGAGAGATGAGCGAGATCGGGAGGGAGGCGAGTGAGATAGTCACATATCTCAAATACATACGAATCACACTAGATACAAACATATACTTGGTACTAGATACATAGGAGAGTGGCAAACAAGATGGGAGGGAGGCGAGGGAGACTAGCGAGATTTGTTTATGTATCTCAAATACGTGCAAATTCACTTGGATATAGCATAACTAGAACAAATTTATCATACATATATCTAGGCGTACCTGGACACACTAAACGAGTAAATATCTCAAAAGGTCACTCAAGTATGTGAAATTATTTGAGAAAGTCTTTCAACTTAGTTTTGTATCAATAAAGTCATTCAACTTATGGATTATCTTTTATAAAGTCACTCAAATTAAACTATTTCTTCTACAAAATCATTATAACCAAAAGATAAAAGAGATAATTACATAAATCATCCTTCAAGTTTAGTTTTTTAATATTTACTTCCTCTATAATTTATAATATTATGTTTATCTCTCTTATTTATTTATTTTAAAATAATAATTATCTTAACTTAATTAATAGGGATATATTAATATCATTAATTTTATTTTTGATATTTTTACATTTAAATATTAAAATTATGGAACAGGAACTTAACAACGTTTTTGATTAGCTTATTAACAGTACTCTTACAAAATATTTTCCCTTTAAATTAATGTTTTCTTTTATATTTTTTTTAAAAAAAGACTACAAAAGAATATTTTTTGTAGATATTTTCACGTTTGTAATTCTAATGCATTTTCTATTTTCCATTCTTATTATACGATTCTTTCAACAGTAATAATTTTTTCTTTTATTTTTTTATTTCTCCATATAATATTTTAAAAATACATTTACGAGCACAAAAGGTGATTAAATAATGTACAATATTATTATTTGAATATAAAAATAGAAAATGAAATCAATGGATTCTAAGATTTGTAGGGAATATCTTTTCTTACCAAAGTTAAGAAATTATTTGATCATAATTTATTCACTTAATTATGATTATGATATTGGTTAATATGATATAATCTTGACCTTTAAAATTTAAACAAGACACATTTCTCTCATCTAGATGTGTATGTGACTAGAGGAAAAGAGTAATGAAGGGGAGCCAAATCCGTATTTTTATATTCATATTCATAATAATTAAGTTAAGAAAATAATTATTAATAACAAAATAAGAGAGGTAAGTATAAGATTATAAACTAAAATGAAAGTAAGTATTACAAAATTAAATCAGGTGGTTTATGCAATTATCTTTTTTATCTTTTGGTTATAATGATGTTTTAGAAAAATAATTTAATTTGAATGACTTTATAAAAGAAAATTCGTAAGCTGAGTGACTTTATTGCTACAAAATCAACTTAAATGACTTTTTCAAATAATTTCACAAAATTGAGTGACCTTTTAAGATATTTACTCCACACTAAACTCTAATAAAATTCGTAATATGGCTTGCCGTATGTTGAAGTAGCGGTGCAGTCTTTTTGGTATTTACATCTGTTTACTGAAACGGTTGTTGCTACGTATTGAATCCAACTTGTCATCTAATTTTTCCCCTCTTTTGAGTTTAGTTTTACCAAATTGCTACTCATAACTAAAATCAGAATCTGAATAGAAAAAGGCAGAGAGAAAGCATGAAAAGATGTTGGAGGAAGGGACCCATGGAGATTCGAGCGGGACGAGCAAAACAACAAAAATGGAAACTCAACAATGGTGGTGGTGGTAATGCTACTGAAAATATAAGAAAATTCTGGAAAAGTATTCGATTAGGGCTTCGGAAAAATAGAATGGGTAGAAAGAAGTTGGAAATAAAGCGAATCGAATCGAAGAGTTGTAGGCAAGTAGCCTTCTGTAAACGCAGAAAAGGTTTAATTAAGAAAGCAAAAGACCTTTCCACTCTATGCGATGTCGATGTTGCTGTTGTTATAATCTCCAATCGTGGCACCCTCCATGAATTCTCCAGCACCAACAGGTTCTTTTTTTTTAATAATTTCACGATTCGAAGATATTTCAGGATTAAGTTTGAGATTAGATTAGTTGACAAGACAAGTCTATCCAGTATCCCATCTTATCTGGTTATTTATCTGGGGACAGGTTAATCTACTTTTTCTAAGTGGTGCAGTTTTTTGGGATTTATCTCTGATGAGTTTATATTTCTAAGGTTTTTTTTTTTTTTTTCTTTTGCATGTGATATGCAAGGATGTCTTGTATAATACGATTGGGAATGAGGACATCCAAATAATTTGAAACTTAAAAATCAAGTTTCAACACACTCTTACTTTTTTTTTTTCAACTGGTATTGAAATATTAATCTTAGGAAGATATATAGAATGTTTGAAAAACAAGCAGTAATGATCGAATCGAATTAGAAATCCTCTAATCACTCCTAATATAATTAAACTCGAATTTAAGGCAATCAAAATCTCCGAATTCATAACAAGCTGATAAAAACAAAGTTAGGGTTTACAATATCTACATTAAGGATAGAGTGCTTAATTAGATACCCTAATATAAGAGAAGTAGGCTCTAAAGTGTCTAATATTAGCCACTTTTGGGAAGTTTAATTTCTGTCCAGTTATCACCACTTCATAAAGAGCAATCCAAGTGCTTGTAGCTTATTTGCTTGGGTACAAATTGATGGCGTTGTAGTTATAGATTAGGGGTCATCATCCTCCCATTTCTGCTCTCGGATTTTTATTATTTACAACAAAAGTAGATAAATCATTAATGTTGAACATCCATCTTAAACATGTTACCTAATGCCTATTAGCCATTACATTTTAGGCATTAGTTTGAGGGTGACAAGTAGTATAGAAGGTGCCCAACTTAGTCCATAACCCTTTCCAAAGAGTTAAGTAACATAGAATTCCTATCACTAATAATTGTATACGAAGCCCATGTAATTTAGACACAAAGTAAATGTCAAGAACATCGGTAACATCATCACTTTTATGATAAGAGTATGAAGTGACTCAAAAAATCTATCAACTACCACAAAAAATACTTTCTTCTCCTTTTTTTTTTTAGGTTAAACCAAGCACAAAATTTATGAAAATATCAAATCAAGATGTATTGAGAGTAGGAAGGGGAGTCGAAATTTATGAAAATATCAAATCAAAATGTATCAAGAGTAGGAAGGGGAGTATACAAACCATGAGGTTGTACATTACACTGTGCATGGTTAGTATCAACACAAGGACGACAAATCCTTTCAACATTTTTTTCATCTTAGGCCAAAAGAGTGTTCTTGAAGAATAGCTAAAGCTTTAGGTATACCAAAATGTCTCAGTAAACGCTCACTAGCTATGTGTTTCTCTAATAAGTAACTCTCTCCAAGGATATTGAGGCTCACACACTTTACCATCTCTAAGCAAGTAACCATATCTTAGGAAACCTTCTTTGTTCACTTAACTTTGCTATTTATCTATCTTTTTCTTCAATGTTAACCATGATTACCTAATTTTCTTTCACATCCACTTTTTACCTCTCTTAACATGCTACTCTTCTCACTTCTCTCTCTCTATCTTGCTCACTTTTGCCGTTTTCCTCCGTCCCTTAATTTTCTTGTAATCCTGACTAACTTTAAATAGAGTCGAAGGTAAAAGAGTGAATTTTATGACGATATTTAACATGAGCTCGTCGCACCGAGTTTGCCTAGTGCGGGTTACCTCTCCTATGTGTTTTGCGATCTATTGCATAGGAGCGGAGGTTTTACCCTGTGCGCACCCAAAGGGTAGCGGATGCGGGTTTCCCTTGTCATAAAAAAAAAGTATTGTTCCTAGATTGGTGTTTTTTTCTACTTTTAGTCCCCATTCCTATTCTCAAGTTTGCTTGATAGTCACCTTCCAAATATTCATACTTGTGCAATCTCAAAGGAGAAGAAATTTCTTTGTTTAGCCTCGCAAGGAACCTTAGAACAATGAGGCTCTATTTATTATCAAAGTTAGCTTCAATCTCGTCCTATGAAACTCTTCAAATAAATCATCAACATTTTAAACCCCCTCCCCCCACAGTGTAGAATTTGGGAAGTATGTTTTCTTGAAAGTAGTCTTATACAAATCTTCTTTTCATGACACCCTTCACTTCATTCCATTAAGTAACAAGCTCAAGCATCGTTGGTTTCTTAATTTGTCTCTTGTAGGATTCCCACCAAATAGAGGCAAACTTTTCAAATTGACGGTGTTCGACTTTCTTTTATATTCATCATGGTCGTATGTGGGTTTTCCATAATCTTATCAAAGGTTCTAATCTCATTTCATTTTGAGCGTACCTCTTCAAGGTTGATTGGTTCTTCTTGTGGTGGTTGAGTTCTTGATGAACAAAACTCGTTGCTTGCCTTTTGGGTTATTGTCTTCGTCTTGACATGGTTATTGGTAGGTTGTGCATGTAATGGTGTTGGTTTTTTGGTTTGCTCGTAAGGTTATTATTAGTGTGTTTCTGGTCATGGATAATTGATGGTAAAGGAAGGCTTAGGTAGCCTTAGGGGTATGTCTCTTAATCATGGGTGGTCTGACTTTGTTGCAACATTCGATGTAGTTGGTTGGGTGGTAGTGGAGTGGAAAAAATAGTCTATTCCTGATATTCGTACTGGATTTGAGCAACTCGAGTGTGAACACTGTATCGCTATGCCCCTAAGCAAGGTTATTATTAGTGTGTTTGTGGTCATGGATAGTGTATTGATGGTAAAGGAAGGCTTGAGTAGCCTTAGGGGTTCATCTCTTTAAAATGGGTGGTCTGACTTTGTTGCAATATTCGATGTAGTTGGTTGGGTGGTAGTGGTGTTGAATAAATAGTCTATTCCTGATATTCGTACTCGATTTGAGCAACTCGAGTATAAACATTGTATCGCTATGCCCCTCTCTTAGCCCCGCTTTTTGGTTTAGGATGGATCCGGACCGGGACATGCTTGTGCCAACTCCTTGGTTTTGTTGAAGAGCATTGGTACTAACCGAAGGAGTAACTTCTCTTCCTTACAAATTGATCACCCTTCGATTCATGTTTCAAACTCTCCCTTCAATTTTACAAGAGCTCTTATAACATCACTTGTGGATGGTTCACCTCTAAAGGTTGAGTTTTTCTCTCCACCATTCTTTATACTTGAGTAAACAAATAAGTAATAACAAGTCCATACCAATAACTCCCTTAGTGCATATACGTCACTTCGACTCCAATCAATCACTTGTCTATCACTCTTGCAAATCCTTAGGAAAATTCAAAGTCAACTCCAAGATCACCTTTGAATCTTACAAGTTAAATCTCCAAATTCATAATAAGCTTATCAAAATAAGCTAGGGTTTAGAGTATTAAGGCTAAAATATTATTACATAAAGTGCCTTGACTAAAATAACCTTAATATCTGCCCAAAATGTCATTAGACACTTTTGTAAAGTTTAGCTGCTGCCCAATATGGGTTCCCATCATCATCATTAATTCTTGTAGATTAAAGTCTTAAAGAAGAATTGGTCTGTTGTAGCAATTGTAAGTCGGGAATAAATGTATTTAAGGCAAAACCCTCTCTTTCCCCCTTATGACATACATGACCTCCCGTTCGATGTTTTCCCCTCTTCTATGAGCCTATGTAATCCATGTTTCATGAAATGCTATGAGTTCTCTATTGGATGTATCCTTCATGACTATATATTTCTTAGTTGTAGCTTGTATTTCATGTGCTTATCATGCCTCCATGTCATTTTCATACATACCTCTTATGGAAATGTGTACGTCATGATGTTAAAAACGGCAATTGAGGTAAGAACTTCTTCCTAACTTCGTGCATGAGCTTATACTAAGAATCCAAAACTTATTTTGAGGTCGGGACTCACACTAAGAATCCATGCATCGTGGGGTTTTTGAGCATTTTGGTGTTTGAGAATTACTTGGTTGGCCTTGTAGGAGGTTTGTGTGTTATTGTACGTTGGCTAGGGGAAAGGATGGGTATGGATAAATCCATTGTTTGGGGGTTTGAAGCTTAATGCTCATTGGGTGTTTGGTGGATATGATTCGGGCTCAACATTTAGGTGCTAACATAGTGGTCAAATGTATCGCTATCGCGGTAATCTACCAGAAACACAAAATCTACAACTACTGATTATTGTCCAAGGCTTCCCAAATCAGTTCCAAGCTCCATTTCATGATCTTCCTTCCATTTCAGTAGTGTGTAGCCTAAAATGGAATCCTCTAAGGGATCATTAAACACTTTCCACTTCATAAAAAGTAGTTCAACTACATGTAACCTTTTTGCTTGGCCATGCGTGAATGACCTTGAAGGTGTAGGTATAGGTCCGAGGTCATCACATGGCAAACAACTGAATACCCCATAAACTTCACTTGTAATGTCTATTAGATCTTGTATCTCAATAAGGGGTTATAGAGATCAAATCCTAGAGAAGATCTTACACATTGGGTTTTGTATTCTATGATTTTTATTACCTTTTGAGTTGATGTTTGCTAAAGCTTATTGAATGGCTTCCTTTCTTGTCCTCACAATCCAAACCTGGCACCTAGGTCGTAACAAGATACCCGGTGATCTGCTACTCATAAGGTGAACCCTCTAAGCTAAAGCATATGTGTCTGTAATATGAAGTGCCGGAAGTAAAAGTTAATCATAAGTCTGCCCAACAACCCCAAGTGTACAGGTCATGGAGCTACTAATATCTGGAATACAAGATATGAGATGCAACTAGATAAAAATGAGGTACTGAGTCTACTCCCGCTGCACACACAAACAACAACAAACGTTAGTCTAAAGATCCAGCAAGATCATTGACTCGCCGTCTTTGCTTAATCATGGGGAAGTCTTTAGAAATCGTTGGTAATTTATAATGGCATAAACAAACCAGTACAAGTATTAATAATGATATACAAGTTATAAAGAAATTGAACTGAAATCACTGATACAGACCGTAATTGAGCATAGGTGCATGACTGGTCCGTCCCACTAGGGGGTCCTGCTTTCTCATAAATGTTCTCTTGTCGGCTTTCTAGATTGAGCTTTGTCGATGTTAACTTTGAGTTTCCTCATTTTGTCATCAGATCTTCCCTTAGCCACCACTTCTGAGTTAGAAGTGGCCCTCCCATCTGAATGGGACTGCTGTTGGAGTTTGTTGTAGTAGCTGGGTCCTTAGCATTTCCTCCCGTCTCAACTTTTTTTATCTTGTGCCACTTGCTGATTCTTAGTAATATTCCCAATCAATGTGATTCTTACTCTTAACACTCGCACGCCCAGACTGCCAACTGGAGCACGGATAATATAATATAGGGGTCCAAATAGGGAAACACTTGATTTGACTCAACCCTAAAAGCTAGTTCAGTCCATATAAGCGACCAACAGTTGATTCCAAATCAATGTACTCTAACCTACTCTAGCACCACTTCACACGCCCAGATTGTCACTGGAGTGTGGATAATATAAATGAGCTCAAATAGGGATAGACTCGTCTCTAATATCATGTAAAGATGTGACACTTGAGTCTAACTTACTCAACCCTGATAGTCAGCTTCTGAGAGGAGGATCATCAACTGCCATATCAAGAGACCAACAATCAATGTGTGGATTCCGAATTATAAAAATGGTATATACACAAGTCCATCACTTGAAACTTGAAAGACAACTTCATATTACTATAACATAAAAACGGGATTAATAACTTGAAAATAAGTAATATTATGTATTATAATAAGGGATGATGCATAGAAACACATTTAAATTGTCAATTACACACCTAAACTATGCGAGTCTTGTCAACCCCCTACATAAGAGATTGAACACCATAAAATATGTTCAGAATTTTCTGAAGCACTCTAGTTTAAACCTACACAAATTGATGTGCTCATAACATTTTCCTTATAATTTACTTACCAACAATCGTATCTGACATTATATATTCCAGTCTTACAGGGATCCTTCAACGATACGAAACGCACGTCGAAGCAGAAAAAGAGAACTCTCCAGAAATCCAGGTCACAGAGGTACTTGATTGGTTTACTCTAGTAAATTAGATTCCCTCTCTGGATATACTTGAAATAAGTGCACTATCTTGCATAAAGTTATCAAGTTAAAGGTCTCGATAAATTTGTTACTCTCTGCCTCGCTCTGAACTTTTATAGTACAAAAGAGAAGAAAAAAATGAAGCACCCCTGAACTGGTCAGAGATCAATATATAGCTGGAACTATTTCTGTGAAATCCATGTAAGTTCCTACATTATAAGGTGATTCTTCCCATGTGTCCTAGCCTTGGTGGACTGAGTTACCTGGTACATGTTGCTGATGGGAGGTGGCAGGTATCCCATGGAATTAGTCCAGGTGTGCGAAAGTTGGCCCGAACACCACGGTCATTAAATAAATGTATAGTATATTGGAAAATCCTGGAAGTATGCTGACTAGTTGTTCATTCATATAGCTAATAAGGTTGATTAGTAGCTTATCATCGATGCATTGCGTATTTTGCAATGCTCCGACTATTCAATGTTGTCTTGAATAAACATACTTAACATTTTTGGTGCGGAGAGTTTTTTAATCATTCTGAGGTGAACACAGCACACTAAATACTCGAGCATGACAACGGGAGAACTGCTACAAGAAACAGAAAGGTACTGATCTAGTACTTCACTTACATTTCATAAAGCTTATACCACTGATGCCCCGCGCAATTTGACAGGCAACTCGAGGAAACTAATACTGATGGTCCCGCTGTAACTGACCTTGTCCATTTGGAAAACGAACTTCAAACTGCTCTAATGCAAATCAGATTTAGAAAGGTCTTTCTATACTATGTACCTTGCCCTAAAAGTACCAGCTTCCCTTCTTAATGCCTCTAGCTTTACTCATCAATGTTGTTTGCATTCGCAACTCTATACGATTTCTTTGTTTTTTTAAATAATGTTGCGACACTTCAGTATTATAATCTGATTCCTTTCGAGTTAGTACCTCAGAATGAAGCAACTCTAAATAGTTTTGTTTTGTGTAGACACAGTTGATGCTTGAATATGTTAAGAATCTTCATGACAAGGTACGCGTTTTCATTTCCATCCGCGCGTCCTGTAAACTAGTTTTAGGATGAATTAGTATTATGTTGAACCCTTAATTATTGCAGGAAAAACTGCTACGAGAGGAAAAGAAACAAATGGAAAAAAATGTAATTCTTACCTCACAAACTCTGCTCCTCTGCTATAAAAATAAATAAATTAGACGTCTTCGTGTTTTTTCTAACTAACTAATACGCATACAGAGAGCTCGGATGAAGAAAAACAGAAAAATGAATGAGATATCTGACCTTCCACCACAGAGGGTGACCCTCAATTTTCTCTAGAGACTTTGCCTTTGGTTCCTGTATTTAGTAGTATCATTTTCATACGTTGAAATAAGTATCAAGATTGTGTGGTTTCATTAAAACTAATTATTCATGACCGCGAGAGCGGTACCAAATCAAGGCAAACTCTGAATACTAGTTATGACCTTAAAATTTTATAGGTGAAGATCTCGATTGTGTTTTACTATATATTCAGTTTTCGTTGTACGATCATAATTCATAACCTTATTTTTTATTTTTCTGTAGTTGTATTATAATGTTCAGCAAGCAATAAATAACAACAGTGAAATCTACTAAGATTAATTCAGTCATTCAGAACAACAAAATTCAAACTGTTAAAAGAAAAATAAACAAACAGAGGAAATTTGTACAGTATTTTTTAAAAAAAAGTGTAGAATCGATCAAATAGAGTTGAAAACTCCGAAACGAAAATCGAGAAAAAAAGAGAACAGTCGGAAAAAAAAAATCAGTTAATAGACCTTACTTATTCATGAAGAAATTTGATTTTTCTGTTCATTATCTACTCGAACTTCTCCTCCCCTTTCAAATAAAAAGAATGGATATATATTGTTATGAAAAGTAAGATTTCAATTTTTATTTTTTTTTATCTATATCATTAGTTATGATTTATAGTTGTACTAGATACAAAAGTTCGACAAGTTTGAGCCCAATATATATTATTCCATTTGTTTTTAATTATTTATCCACTTTAAGAAAATAATGATTGACATAGTAAGTTTACTATTTTATTTCTATTAATTATGAAGTGGATGAATTAAAAACTTAAGATTTTCAAAAAGTTCTACCTTTTTCAAAGTAATTAATTGACGGCATAATAGATAAAAAAAAATTGGCATTTCTTGATTTGTCAAAATGGACAAGTAATTAGGAACAATTAAAAAAGAAAAAGTGGACAAGCAATTAGGAACAGAGGGAGTATATTATTTGTTTTAATTTTATAATCTTGTTGTCAATTATATTTATAATATTTTAAACATAATATATATAATACGTATAATATTTTAAGAGTCCTAATTTGTAAGCAATCACAATAAACCTAAAATGACTAAATTATCCTCAAATGTAATGGATATTTTCAAGAAGCACACACATCGATTGAGACGTGTGTGCTTATTCCCTCTTATATATTAATAGTGGATAACTATTTTTAAACTAGTTACATTATATGTTATAATAATAGTTTTTTATTTACATTTATTTATCTGATTTTGATTTAACACAAAATTAAAGATGAATTTGAGGTATGTGGTGCGGATTTTCTAAAACTTATATGAAGAAAAAAAGAATTACTCTTATTATAAATTTAATAACAAAATAGTTACTTGATGGAGCTCATAAGAAGTTCATGTGCACAAGCTTTTGTTCTGCCCATCCCAAGTGCACATGAAAATCGGATAAATTTTCACGCAATTCAATTAATTTTACTAAACACATAAAAAAGCTTCAGTAGAAAGAAATGTAAGCAGTAATATTTGGAAACAACAGATTCAATGACCGATAAAGCTGCCATGTAACGTACTACAAATTCTAATTGATTTTGTCATGGAAACTTTATAGTACTAATTATTTCCACTATCCCTAATTACTTATCCACTTTTGAATTGACACATCTGTTAAGAAAATAATTATTAATAGTGAGTTTATCATTTTATACTCATCTATCTCAACACTAACGCCAAAGAGCAAAACTTATATTCCCTCCTTTTCAAAAAGCAAATAAAGATTTTTTTTAAAATTTTTTAATTCTAAATTAAAGTTATGTTGAATGTATCAAAATATTTTTAAATTTTGGAGCCATCTGCGATCCCTTAAAATTGTTTGCATAATTCACTTAAGCACTTTAATCATGACTTGTACCTATTGAACACCTAAATTATTTAAAACATGTCTCTATTAAGCACAAAGTATTGATGTGGTAAAATAAGTGCATCTCACCGCATAGAAGCACGTGAACATGTCCCAATTTTTTATATATATTTTCTGTATTAATAATAAACTTGTACCTTTTTTCCTTCTAATGACACTTGGCATTGCATTAATTAAAATAACTAAAAATAAACTTTTATTCAAAATATAATGTCTTATAATACTCAAAATGAAAGCAAACCCACCCCACCCATGTAGGCTATACCAGCAATGGTCTTCTTCTTCGCCTCATTTTAATCATTTTAAACTTTGTTTTGGTTCTTCATTTTTGTTTTTCGCTCTTTATAAAAAAAAAATTGAATTTGCTAATCAAATTTGCAAGAATGAAAAAAAAATCGGACATCGGAGTTATAAAGGCAACCTTCGCCCATCTCTATTTTCGGTCACTTCGATCAACAAACATCACCAGCCATTAAAGTTATAAAATAATATCAGAAAATGCGATATAATTCATTTGAATCCTCATGATTTCTCTTCGTCATCGATTTTGAAATAATTTATCAACGTCAACTTATTTTTCACGAAAATCTCAATAATCACTCCATTAATCTATCATGCTTCATAATTTATTTCATTATTTGCATTTGACTTAATTTCCACAGCTCATAATTTATTATAAGAAGAAAAACAAAAGTGAATCTCTTCGGAGGAATAGAAAATGGTGGGCCACATAAATAAAAAAGTTATTCTTTTTAAAATAGACTAAAAAGAAAATTAGGTTCATTATTTCTTAAACGGACGGAGTATTATGTTACTCTACCATATATATATACTCTTCATATATACCACATACTTATATGTCACTGTATTATAATGTATCACACTTTTATTTAGTGAGATACATGTGATATACTGAAATACAATGATAAAATTTGTGCAGCTTCAATTGTTCAGTTTCTATTTTGAATTTTCTTTTATATAATACTTCTCTGGTTTAATTTATTTGTATGGCATTTTTATTTTTATTTTATGGTATTAAACATGTCGCACAGAAAGTCAAAATTAAAGTGTTGTTAAAAAAAAGGGCAAAAGAGATGGTTATTTGTGATTTAAAATAAGTCATAGGATAAAATGAACATTTTAGAGTTAAATTGTTATTTTCTTCGTCCAAATTCATATGCTATTGTATAACTACAGAAAATTTAAGAAAGAAAGATTTTTTTTAAAAAATTATGGTCTAAAATGAATCATAGTTGTTTGTGTGATTATATATCATCTTATTAAAGATAAAATAAACATTCTAAAATTAAATTCTATTAAGTAAATGTATCATTCTTTTTTAGACTGACTAAAAATAAAAAATATATCATATAACTTGAGATATAAATAGATTTAAAAAAAAAAACTTGAGATATAAATATTTATCTTACATCGATTAATTTGAATTTGCATAGAAAATCTTATCTTAAAAATTAAAGTTCTCAATCAAAAAATACTTTTACATCTATATTCACATTCGAAATCTTTTATTAGTATAGTATCAGCCACCCAACGACTACGTGGGAGAATTAATTGGACCGACTTTACACTGCTGGAAATTTATTCTATTGGTTCACAATGTGGACTCCTCCATCTGAACACACTGTAATTTATATAAATATATAATTTTTTACTAAACAAAAGTTTTAAAAATATATGATCAGAATTTCGAAAATTTTAACGTTCAAAATGTACTAGTATACAATTTGAGACACAGAAAGTATAAACCTCCGTATTAATATGATGAAAAAATATTGCTTAAGTCATAGGCGAACTCAGAATTTGAATATTTCGGGTGCACTAATATTATCTTAGCTCAAATATGAACTCTAAGATAAACTTAAAATAAAAACAATGAAAATAGGGGTCTAGCTGGATTCGAATTCAGGTCTCGCAAGTGATACCTTTGGCTTGTACCAGTAGCACACCATCACTCTTATACTCTTATAGGTGCATTGTTAATTATATTTTAATTTATGCCAATTTCTCAAAATAGATATATATACATACAAATAATTTTTTTTTTTGAAATTAACGAATACACGTGCATCCAGGTGAATCCGCCTCTTGCATAAGTTGTCACGAAGGGAGTGGTTTATTCGGTTTAATAAGCGACATAGTCTGTAATATGTTTTGTTCTAAAATAAATTGTCCACTTCATTTCGATCTAAAAGAATGTGTAAATTTTTAAAAGGACGTTCACATTTTGATTCATGAACAATTTTATAAAAATATTATTCCCTCTGTTTTAATTTATGTGACTTACTTTCCTTTTTAGTCATTCCTAAAAAGAATGACACATTTCTATATTCAGTAATAATTTGACTATAAAATGTCTATTTAACCCTTTAATAAAATGATTTACAGTCACACAAATTTTTATCATTATTTTGAATCACAAGTTTTAAAAGTCTTTTTTTCTTTTTTAAACTCCGTTCCGAATCAAAGTACCTCACATAAAATGGGACGAAGAGAGTATAAAGTGAGAAATGACAACTGTCTAAGTCTGAAGACTCATTTTTAAAAGTAAACCATTCTATTTAGAGGATGACTTTATATTCAGATTTAAAATCAATTTTTTTTATTAAGGATGAAGAAATACTTATACGAGTAATTTACTAATATTGTATCGGCCATTTTTAAAGGAAAAAATTTAAAACTATTTTTTGTGGCTATATTATAATTTAAAACTATTTTTTTTTGGATATATTGTAATTTAGTTTTTGTATTTGAAGAAAAAAATTGGGTCATCTATAATAAATTTTAGAAGAATATTAACAAAATTTAAATAAATTTGACCATTAAAATAATAAATCTAAATTAGTCATTGAAACAAAAAAAAAGTTAAAAAATAATAATATATATTTGAGGAGGATTAAATATACCCATATTCATTATATTTTTTTAAAAATAATTAAACTAAAACTATTTTTTCACTTCCGGTAAAGGAAAAGGGTATATGTGAGTCATTTGTATAACAGTAGGAGTATATATGAGTCACTTTTATAACGAGAGATATATCAGCTCTAAATGACAAAATTGAGGGTATATCAGACCATTTTTCCTAAAATTTAAGTTCACTTTTTGAACTGTATCTGCACACTGCACACTGCACACCCACTCAACACGTTACCTAATAATTAAGCATTCTCTCCTTATCTATTACCTTGACTTGACGTACTACGGCTTCCACGTGTCGATAGACACTATTAGAATTTACGAGATTTTATATTTTTTTTCATTCTAATTTATATAAGTTAATTTTATTTGACATATATAATTTAAGACAAAAATAAAAATTTTAAAATTGTGATCTAAAATAAGTTATAGATTATTATTATAGTTATAAATTTTTTTAATAAGAATAAAATTGACATTTAAAATTTAAAATGGTTATTAAATATACAGATATATCATTCTTTTTGAAACTAACTAAAAAGATACCTATCTAGTCTTTGGAGATAGAGTTGAGAGGTTCATTTAATGTAGAAAAACATTATTTTCTGTCCCATTTATATGATTTATTTTTCTTTTTATCCGACTCAAAATGAATGATATAATTTATATTTAATAACAATTTTAACTTTTTAAAATGTCAATTTTACATAACTTATTTTAAACTTTGCGTAAGTTAAATTAAAACAAAAATATTATTAATATATTATTAATTTTCTTTGACTTCTTTTTCGTACTTTTAGTAAAATTTTAACTGTCACCGTGCTTCGTAAAACTCGTACTGCGAATGTTCAAAATCTGTTTGATCTCATATTAATTAATTCTAAACAAAAGCGACTCCGTAATCGAAATTTATCACTCCACCACAGCCACCACAGCCAACGTGATAAATTTCACTATTCTTTATTTATATAATATATACATATGAAGTCCAACAACTGACTCTCCTTTATGTACTGCTCACTGCCTCCAGTTTTGTGAATTTATACACAGCTGAAGCTTACTGATCATTATATACAACTTCAGAGACACAAAAATAAGGTCATGATACGCAACGAAAAAAGTTGAATATATATATAAAATACACAAACATGTGGGCTGAAGATCATCTTCACCCTTTCAATTTTAAGATCATAATTAGTATTTAGACTTAGCCTGGATTTGGTATTTCAGGTACAAATGATACTTTATACAGGGTGCCGCCGGTTATTCACCTGGAGCCAGCCACTGCAAAGGCTATTTTATTTGACAAATACAATGATAAATCACTAGAGAAAACTCAGGGTCACCCTCTGTGGTGGAAGGTCAGACATTTCATTCACTTTTCTGTTTTTCTTCATCCGAGCTCTCTGTATTCGTATTACTTAGTTAATTAGAAGGAAAAAAAAACATGAAAGATATCTATTTTTTTATATCAGAAGAGCAGATTTGTGAGGTAAGATTTACATTTTTCTCCAGATGTTTCTTTTCCTTTTGCAGCAGTTTTTCCTGCAATAATTAAGGGGTATCAATAATCAGAAGCGGAGCCAGAATTAAGAGTTTGAAAGTTCTAAATTTTAGGACAGAAGAGAAAAATATTGTAAAGCATGTTGATAGTGGGGTTTCATACCACCCACAACACTAGTGGTCAGAAGTATTTTCACTTACCATTGAACTGTAAATTAATTTTGTTAGGGATTTACTAGTTAATAACATATATATGTATTTAATTTTCTGATATAAATACAGGGTCTACGATAAGCTAGTGGGTTCGTCCGAACCCATGAACCTCCACCTAGCTCCGCTTCTGTGTATCATGACACATGCGATCTAATGGAAAACTAGTTTTCAGGATGTGCCGATGGAAATGAAAACATACCTTCTCATGAAGAGCCTTAACAAATTCAAGCATCAAATGTGTCTGCACAAAACAAAAACTATTTAGAGTTACTTCATTCTCAGGTACTAACTAACTGAGAATCAGATTATAAAACATTATAATTTAGAAAGACCTTTCTAGATCTGATTTGTATTAGAGAAGTTTGAAGTTCGTTTTCCAAATGGATAAGGTCAGTCACAGTAAGACCATCAGCATTAGTTTTCTCGAGTTGCCTGTCGAATTGAGACAGCGGATCAGTTGTATAAGCTTTAAGAAATAAAAGTGGAGTTTAAGATCAGTACCTTTCTGTTTCTTCTAGTAGTTCTCCCGTTGTCATGCTTGAGTATTTAGAGTGCTATATACACCTCAGAATGATCAGAAAACTTTCAGCATAAAAAATGTATTTGATTATTCAAGACCACATTGAATAACACTCAAATGATAACTGTGGCTACATTGCAAAATACGCAATGAATCGATATGATAACTTACTAATCAACCGTATCAGCTACATGAATGAAAAATCCAGGATTTGACAAAATACTAAACATGTCTAGCATAAGTCATTTTAGTCGGGCAACAAGATCCTTTTTTTTTATAGATATATTTAGTTGAATAGCAGCATGATCTACGATGCACTATGATGAAGAGTAAACATCATTTATAATTTGGACCTTTCAGTCCTAGAGGTGGCACACTAAACCTAACATGTAATTTAGTATCTTCGGACCTAGTAAAAATGCAGGAAATTACATGTATTTCACAACATCTGGAAATAGTTCCAGCTAGATATTGATCTCTGACCAGTTCAGGCAATGCATCATTTATTTTTGGGTAGAATACAAGTTCAGAGTTACTTAATACTCATCAGAGCGAGGCAAAGAATAACCAAATTGATTGAGATCTTTATATATGCAAGATAATGCACTTATTTCAAGTATCTAGAGAAAATCTAATTCACTAGAATATAACTGGATAGCAGTCAACTAATCAAATACCTCTGCAGCCTGGATTTCTGCTTCGACGTGAGTTTCGTATCGTTGAAGGATCCCTGTCAGACTGGAATATATATCATCAGATATGATTGCTGGCGGGTAAGTATAAGGAAAATGTTATGAGCAGACCAATTTGTGTAGGGTTTTAAACTAGAGTGCTTCAGAAAATTCTGAACATATTTTATGATGTTATATCTCTCATTGAGCATTAGGTACTAAACCATCGAAAATACGAGACCCTCTGCATGGATACCAAAAGGGAAGCCCCTTTTAGTTTAGTAGTGTATATCATCAGTCACTTCCACTGGAGAGAGAACGTTAGCTTTCTTTCTACCTTTCCCCTCTTTTATTTTCTTCTATAGGACTCTAATGGTAACATTTAGAGAACTGATTAGTATGGATCTCTTCGTCCAGCCTCCCGACCATCCACTGGCACCCCCTGACCCACCCAATGCTCTAATGCAAGCTTTCGTCCTCTGGTTCAGCAAAATTCCCAATCCATGATTGGCCTAACTCAGCAAATTGGGAATAGTCCCTAGTGTTGATAACACTAGGTGTCGAGGAAAAAAGTTTGTTTACAGCACAGACCATATGACCTAGTGGATGGAAAACCAGTGGTCCGTTTCACGGAGGAGGAACACGCAATGCTTGCTGAAACGTGTCGATGGATTGTCATCGGTAAGCTCCCAAGAAGAAAGAATCTTTTTGGATTTCCGTAGGACCATATCCCTCTGTTCAGATAGGGGACTAGGATCTCAATCACTTCTTGATTGACTTTGCACTAGAAGAAGACCATAGGAGTGTCTATAGTAGGAAGTTTCTCCTAATCCTTGGTATGCAAATGAAGATCTGAAATGGACTACAAACATCCAATTCAATGTGGAAACCATCTTAGTTGCAATATGGATTAAATTTCTAGACCTGAGATGGCATATTTTTGAGTGGGATGCTTTGTGACAAGTTGTGCTTCAATAGGCATACCCATTATAATTGATAAAGCAACACTCGCAAAAACAGGACCTGCTACAGCTAAAACAAAAGTGGAGATTGATATCACCAAGGCCACTTATCTACGAGGTTATGATTGATATCCAAAATGAAACAATACCTGAGATTGGAAAAAGTGAGATACGACATGCACATGCAGATACTAGGAACCAGACCATCCAGGAGACCAAAGATAGGAAAAATAGTAGTACTATGGCAATCAATAAGTATAACCAAGAAATGCAGGCGGACAACAACTTGGGGAATATCTCAGGTAATAGTCAAATAACTACTGTTGGAAAAGGGTAAGGAAAGAAGAATAGGAATATTACTATGAATCAGCACATGGCACAAGAGAGTGATACTCAAACCTCCCCAAAATAAGATAAAAAAAGTTGAGACAATAATAAGTGCTAAGGATCCATCTGCCACAACGAACTCGAACAGTGGTCCCATTCAAATGAAGGACCACTTCCAACTCAGAAGTGGTCGCTAAGGGAAAATCTCATGACAAAATGAGGGAACCCAAAGTCAACATCGACAAAGCTATATGTGTTTCTGTATGTGCATTTAAACCATTTAATTCATGCGAGTGGACAAGCATGAGCCAGGTCAGATAGATTTGGAAGTATTTAGTTGGACCACGAGGGCCGCTTTGTTTGTTTTTGCACTGCTTGATACTTCTTATTGATATGAGCATGTTGTGATGGTTAATTAGATGTTCAGCATTTATCATCACTTGATTGAGTATGCACTGATAATGCTTGGTAAGAGGCTAGTTAACTTGTGTGGAGGATACCAGGTAAGACGGGATAGTTGTTGCACTGCTCGAGATAGATAAGTTAGGAACCTACGCACCGAAGATGGGTATGGACGGACAAGTCATGCACCTATGCTCAATAGCAGTCTGTATCGGTGATTTCTGTTCAGTTGCTTTACTTGTATATCATTATTATACTTATTTATTTTGTTTTATGCCTTTATGAATTACCAATGATTTCTAAAGACTTGCCCAAAGAGTAAGCTTAGAGGCAAGTCAATGATCTTGATGGATCTTTAGTCTAACGTTTGTTGTTGTTTGGGTGTGTGCAGGGGAGCAGATGGTGGTGGTGATCAAGTGGCCGATCAATGACTCCAATGTTGATCAGTCATTCCAGTGGGAACCCACATCCTTAGGAGGAGGTGCACGTGCATCCGCTAACGTTGAAAAAATCATATATATATATATATATATATATATATATATATATATATATATATATTTTGAGAAACTAGCAGAACCTAAAATATAGTGAACAATGCACCCATGAAAAGTATAGGAGTATCCTTGTGTTGTTGGTATAAGCTAGAGAAACCACCCTTGAGATCGGGGTTCAAATCCCAGCTAAAACCCTTTTTCATTATTTTTATTTTAAATTTAGCTTAGAGCTCATATTTGAACTAAGGTAATATTGATGCACCCGAAGCCTTCAAATCCTAGGTTTGCCTCGGATTCCAGTCGAGATGAGCCTCCAATAGATCATGGAGGACTCTTCCTCTTAGTAGACTTAGCACTTCATTATTATATATATATATATATATATATATAGCCGGTTTAAGACTTTATTCCTCTTTATTCTAAGTTATCACATGTTTTAACTTAAGAGGGTTTCACCTTATGAGTAGTATCTCGTTGGATGTCTTACGGCCTAGGTGCCAAATTTGGATCATGACAACAAGAAAGGAAGCCATTCAATAAGCTTAGTAAATATCAACTAAGGTGGTGTAATCATAGAGAACAAAATCCAATATGTAAGCCATTGTGATAATCTTAATAGGATTTGATCTCTATAACCCCTTGTTGAGATACAAAATCGGATAGATTTTACAACTGAAGGTTTATGGAGCATTAAGTCATTTGCCATGTGATGACCTCAGACCTACACCTACACAGTGGCGGATCCAGGATTTCTGTGGAGGGGGTTTGAAATATAAAGAAGTAAACATGTGAAAATTGCAAGATGAAAAACTAAGCGAGATAGGAGGAAACTAGTAATCTGAATCCAATAAGTTTAACTTGCCTTATCATGCCGCGTTTCATATTTTTTGCTTTTACCCTATTTCATTGAGTTTTTTTTAAACATAGTTTTTGTGCTTTTTTCTCTTTTATATTGCAGTGTTCTACTCTATTTTTTGAATTTGTTTAAATTCAACCACTAAGATATTATAATATATATTCATAAGCTAAATAATTGACATCATCGATTTTTTAGTTTATTTAATTCAATTTACTAGGTTAGTCATTCATGAAAAAGACAAATGATGAATAGAACAAATAAGTTTAGTTTAGTTTTCATCTTTTTAAAATTGAACTGAAAAAAAATAAGAAAGAAATACTATAAAATTAAGGGGAGGGGGAATCAATTAATTATATTTTATTAAAAGATTATTCACGACTTTTAAATTTCTTCATTCGATTAACTTTAATTTAATTTATTTTATATAATATTTTTTGTAAATCAATTTTAAATTTAATAATAATTCATCGTTAGTCATGGAAAGAGACTTATGTAGAAATAAAATGAGAAATATAATTAAGAAGAATAAAAGACAAAAGTATCTAAAATATGTCTAATAAATTTAAACAAAGATAAATTGAGAAAAATAAATAGCATTGAGAGAAAAATAATAAAACTTTACATTGAACCAAAAATAGTGAGGCATTTCATTGAGTTGGGATTTGAGCTCGAAACCAGAGCTCATTCCGCCTTTCAAAAACAAAGAAATGGAGTTGGATTTGATCCCAAAACAAGAGCTCATTCAGCCTTTCAAAGCAAAAAAACAACAAATGGGAAAATGTTGCACGTGGGAATGGAACCCAAACCCTCTCGGTCAATGTTGAACCCTTAGTCGTTGAGCCATGTTTCTCTTTTGTTTTGAGGGGGTTCATTTTAATATATGTACTCATAAAATCATAAATAGACCTTATATATACCTTGTAATTTTTCGACGAGGGGGTTCGGGTGAACCCCCTGACCTCCACGTGGGTCCGCCCCTACACCTACACCTTCAAGATCGTTTACGCATGGCCAAGCAAAGGGGATAAAGTATTGGGACTATTATAAATGAAGTGGAAAGTGTTCAATGGTCCGTTAGAGGATCCCATCTTATGCTACACACTACTAGAATGGAAGGAAGACCGAAAGTGGAGTTTGGAAATGATTTGGGAAGCCTTGGACAATTGTCATCAAATGTAGATTTTGTGTTCAGGTAGATTACAGTGATCAAACTCAAACCACTAGTAGCGAGAAACTGGGCATCGTGATCACATCGTCACAGATGCAAGTAAGTAAATACTCCAAGTTGACTTTCTGGCACAAAAGCATCACGAACATGGAACTGCACTAAGCACGAACGCATAAAAGGACCTTATATCACCATATCATGATCTCTATACATTTGACCACTATGCGTTAGCAACAAAACATAGAGCCCAAGTCATATGGGCAATCTACCGAACACATGATAAGCATCAAGCTCCAAAACTCCCAAACAATGGTGTTTCTCTACACCAATCCTTTCCCTTAGCCAACAAAACACACAAACCTCATGTGAGGCCAACCAAGTAGTAAATCCCAAACACCACAATCCTTAAAACAACCTACACGTCTCACATGCAATGGTGTCCATGAGGACTCTTGGCTTTCGATCACCATCTCATGAGTCTCGACCTCAAAATAAGCTTTGGATGCTTAATATAAGCCCATGCAGGAAGTCAAGAAGAAGTGCTAGCCTCAATTGTTATTTTTAGCATTCATGTAGTTAGACATTTCCATAAGAGACGTATGAACTTGACATGGAGTCATGATAAGCACATAGGAATGAAAGCAACAGCTAAGAAATACATAGTCATGAGGGATACATCTCATAGAAAATTCATAGCATTATATGGAACATGGGTTACATAGGCTCATAAAAGAAGGGAAAACATCGATGAGGAAGTCATGTCATAACGGGGAAAGTGAGGGCTAACCTTACATACCTCAACTTTTCTCTTAAAATTACTACAACGGATCAATTCTTCTTTAAGGCTTTAAC